CAATGGCCAGCGCATCAATGACTTCGTCGAGCTGTCCGAGGTGCCCGACCTGAAGGCTGACTCCGAGATCACCCTGGTGGAGGATCCCTACAACGAGAAGGAAGCTCGTATGCACGTTGTTCGCATGAGAGAGCTGGTTGGCGCTGCTGGTGACCGGGTGGACAACCTCCACGGTATCAGCGCTGGTCTGTCGCTGCACGATGCCATCTCCGCCGAGGTGGCTGAAGCGTCGGAGAAGGAGCACTCCCTGTCCAAGTACGACATCACTAGCTCCCCCTCTTTCAAGACCATCCTCCCCCGCGCCGAAGCCCCCCTTCCCAAGACCGTCAAGGCCATCTCTCTCTCCCCCTGGAACCCCGTTCCTTACCACCTCCGCCAGAAGGGCCACTTGCTCTACCTTCAGGTCACCACCAACGAGGGTGAGCAGTTCCAAATCACCTCTCACATCTCCGGCTTCTACGTGAACAAGAACTCGAACATGAAGTTCGATCCTTCCCCCAAGACTATCCCCAAGAGTGGTCGCGCGCACTCGCTGCTCACCTTGATCGCTCACCTGTCGCCTTCCTTCAACGCCTCTTTCGAAGCCCTCCAGGAGTCGAACAACAAGAAGGATCTCCTGACCACCTTCCCCTTCCAGAACGCCATCCCTAACAACCCGTGGCTTGTTCCCCCTCCCACCTCGACCGCCAACGCTCACCAGCCGGACATCACCCGTTCCCAGGAGAACTACCTCATCTCCGGAGTTGACAACGCGGAGACCCTCCGTGACTGGAACGAGGAGTTCCAGACCACCCGGGAGCTGCCTCGCGAGACTGTTCAGGACCGTGTCTTCCGTGAGCGCTTGACCTCCAAGCTGTTCGCTGATTACAACGAGGCCGCCGCTCGTGGTGCCGTTCTGGTTGCTCGTGGTGAGGTCGCTCCTCTGAACCCCACTGAGAGCCGCGATGCTCAGATTTTCGTGTACAACAACATCTTCTACTCCTTCGGTGCGGACGGTGTTGGCACCTTTGCCTCCGAGGGAGGTGATGAGGCTGCCCGTGTCGCTGTCGGTAAGGATGTTGTGGGCATCAAGGCTGTCAACCAGCTCGACATCAACGGTCTCTTCACCCCGGGAACTGTTGTCGTTGACTACCTTGGCAAGCGTATCGTCGGTCAGAGCATTGTCCCCGGTATCTTCAAGCAGCGTGAACCCGGTGAGCACCAGATCGACTATGGTGGTGTTGAAGGAAAGGATGTTGTGGCTACTCACCCCGACTTTGTGTCTGTCTTCGAGAAGATGTCCAAGGCTCTTCGCGTCAAGAAGCACGCCGTGTGGGACAAGGAGGGTCAGCGCCACGAGCTCGAGGGTAGCGTGGAGACCAAGGGTCTTCTGGGTACTGATGGCCGCAAGTACGTCCTTGACCTCTACCGCGTGACTCCCCTGGATGTCATGTGGCAGGAGGAAGAAGGTAGCGATGCCTACCCGCACCGCATGTCGGTCCTGAGACTGGAGCTCGTTGAATCTTACTGGAGACACAAGATGAGCCAGTACGTGAAGGCCGAAGTCGAGCGCCGCCGTAGCGCCAAGGCCGAGGCGGACGCTGCCAATGCTGAATCCTCCGAGGCTACCGAATCCAAGGAGCAGGCCTCCGAAGAAGAGAAGAGCGAGGAGGCTGCTGACCAGGAGCGCGTTGACATTTCCGGATTCTCGCTTGCGCTGAACCCCGATGTCTGCAGCGGTCAGGTTCCCCAGACTGACGAAGAAAAGGAACAGTGGGCCCAGGACGAGAAGGAGGTTCGTGAGACCTGCGACTACCTGCGCTCCAAGATCATGCCCGAATTGATCCAGGACCTGCACGACGGTGATGTCGGCTTCCCCATGGACGGACAGTCTCTTAGCCAGCTTCTGCACAAGCGTGGTATCAACATCCGCTACCTTGGTAAGCTGGCTCAGCTGTCCAAGGAGAAGGGTTCTCGCCTCGATGCTCTGTCTACTCTTCTTGTTCAGGAGATGATTGCCCGTGCCTTCAAGCACATTGCCAACGAATACCTTCGTAACGTGCCGGCGCCGTTCGTCGCCTCCTGCATTTCTCACTTGCTCAACTGCCTTCTGAGTGCTGATGTCAACCCCAACCCTGTTGCCGAGATCGACGCTTCTCTGCGCTCCATCTACCCTGAAGGCGACTTCTCCTTCGAGAAGGCCACCCCTGCCACTCTCCGGGCTGAGATTGAGAAGCAGGTGACCATCCGGTACCGCTTCACCCTGGAGGCCGAGTGGTTCAACTCTCTTAGACACTTGCAGCTTCTCCGTGACCTGTCGATCAAGCTCGGTCTGCAGCTTGGTGCCCGGGAATTCATCTTCGACAAGTCGCAGATCCCTGCCAAGGCTCCTGTCACCAACGGTGCCAACGGTGCTGCTCAGGAGGAGGGCAAGAACAAGAAGAAGAAGAAGGGTGGCGATTCCAGCTCTCCCGCCCGCGCCGCCAAGGAGGAGAAGCCCATCCTTGCCATTGTCCCTGATGACATCCTCAACATTGTGCCCTTGGTCAAGGACGCCTCCCCCAGGAGCTCCCTCGCCGAGGAGGCCCTGGAGGCCGGTCGTATCTCTCTCATGCAGAACCAGAAGCAGTTGGGCCAGGAGCTCATCTTGGAGTCTCTGTCTCTGCACGAGCAGATCTACGGCATCCTCCACCCCGAGGTCGCCAAGCTCTACCACCAGCTGTCCATGCTGTACTACCAGACCGACGAGAAGGAAGCGGCTGTCGAGTTGGCTCGCAAGGCTGTCATCGTCACTGAGCGTACTCTGGGTGTGGACTCGGCTGACACCATTCTGAGCTACCTCAACCTCAGTCTTTTCGAGCACGCTTCTGGAAACACCAAGACTGCGTTGGCTTACATCAAGCATGCCATGGACCTCTGGAAGATCATCTACGGCGCCAACCACCCCGATTCCATCACCACTATGAACAACGCCGCGGTGATGCTGCAGCACCTTAAGCAGTACTCGGACTCTCGCAAGTGGTTCGAGGCCTCGCTGGAAGTGTGCGAGAACCTCTTTGGCCGCCAGTCCATCAACACCGCGACCATTCTGTTCCAGCTGGCCCAGGCTCTGGCTCTTGACCAGGATTCGAAGGGTGCCGTTGGCAAGATGCGTGATGCCTACAACATCTTCCTTAGCCAATTGGGTCCCAACGACCGCAACACTAAGGAAGCTGAGACCTGGCTGGAGCAGCTCACTCAGAACGCGGTCTCGATCGCCAAGCATGCCAAGGACATCCAGGCTCGTCGTCTGCGCCGGGTCAACATGAACCCTCGCTCTCTCGGCACCAAGATCCAGCCTCAGGTTGGCCAGACTGCTCCCGAGGCCGCTGGAGCCAGGGCTCCTGGCAGCGCCTCCCTGGACTCCCGTAGCGTCGATGAGCTGCTGAAGTTCATCGAGGGCGGTGATGCCGGTTCTTCCAAGGCCAAGCAGAAGAAGCGCGCTGCTGCCAGCAACCCCAAGCTCCGTGGATCGAAGAAGTCTTCGGCTTAAGCGTGATGGGTTGTCTCATATTCTTTTCCTACCTTCCAGTTCCCTATGCATGGCCGCTGGCCGAGCTTACAAAAATAATCTTGGGTTTATTTCCTTGTATTATGCCTGTCTTAATAGAGGTATTATTTGGCTCTATATATCCCTGCAAAGAGTTGATGTTTTGGATGAGCGGGCCGTTTGCAGAAATCTCTCTACTCCCGCACCACATTGGGTGCTGATGGTTCTATGTTATTATTTTCTTCTTATTTTCTTCCCATTGTTCTGTTCATTTCATGTCTTTTGGCATGGATTCTCTCTATCGCGGGCAGTGCATAGCCAGGCCGGGCGATTCGCATGCTATGTATTATATACGATGATCGGTGGTTATCCCAATACGACTCTGTAACGATGCTATGTCTTTGATTCATTATCTCTCCTGTTCGTAGCAGAATATCCCATCATACACCTAGATGTCTAGAACTACTAAGCCAAAGTCGTGGATGGCTATCCAAACTACTATGTGAATAAGACTGAAGCGAGAGACCCTGACTCTGTATATCCTAGTAACTAACCATAAGAGAGATATTGGATCTATCGAGGTGTCCCTAAACATACTTATTACCTCACAGTTATCTGGTCACCAACCTCCCGGATGACATGATGGAATTTACAATACATCAATAAATATATTCACTTTCCTTGGATCTCTCTCTCCATCATGGATGTAGAGCTCTCTCCCAACATTTACCCGCGATGTAATTGGCGCAATATGAAGGGTCGTAGTACTAGTAGTATCCAACCGACTGCGAAATGGGCGAAAAGCATGTTTGTGCACTATGACATCTAAATATCCACTTCTTACTACTTACTAACTCTAGAGATGTTACGAGGAGTGGGAAAAGCATCGCTGAGATGAAATCCAAAGCCAGGACTGGTCAAGACTCTGACCGTTTACCACCTCCCCCACCCCCAACGACTAAGAGAACCGGCCCAGGGACAGGCTGTGGTATCCCAGACGAGGGACTGACTCAATGCTCCAAGATAAGTGGACGGCGCAAAATGACCGAAGTCGGTCATTCACGGGAAAAGAAAAATCTTAGAATTGTTCTGCCTATCTGCCTACGACATTGTTGGTATACCAACAGGATGCAATGCAGTCGAACAGTAGAGTTTGTCCAATAGATGTTCCATGGCTGTGAGGATAGCTCGGAACTTTTGAGTAATTCATATGGGGCCTTGCTCAGCTGACGATGAGCGGGGAATTCATCTGCTCGCTAAGGTACCTGCGGAAACAGCAATAGCGTTGGCCGGGGGGGGGGGGGGGGGGGGGGGGGGGGGGGGGTTTTATATTGGATGCGCCACATCACTTCAATGTACTGATAGGAAGAAAGCATTGGGTGAATGGATCGCTAGATAGCACGTCTGGCTCCCCACGGCGCTTCAATTCCAGCTTCTGCGAGACCTGAGCGTCGATGTTTCAACCAGTAGCATATCGCCTAGCCCTGAACCTTCAGAGGGCTGCTGCGGCATCCAGCGTGACATCTGCGCCATCAATGAGCGGGAAAACGAGGGCGCGGGGGAAGAATGATTGGAGGCCACCGTCTCGTCTCCCAAGAGACTTATTTTGATGGCTGCATTTAGTCCTGGCAGTCACGGCCAGCGCTTCGCCAGCGATACGCCTGCGCGTCCCTGTCTGCACTGATAGCCGCCCGGGCCACGGACAGGCTGCCCCTTGGCGATGTTGTTTGTAACCCAGCGTTTTGAAGAAGGGCCCGAACGCACCAGCCGGATCCTATCAGCTTGACTTACCAGCTCGTGGTGGTTATCATTGACCAGCCCGTGTGAAGAGCCGCCGATCTGCACCGCCAGTGCGGGACGGCGACAATAGCTACCACCTCCAACACTACACCGTTCGGAGATGCAGCGTCCTTGACGCTCCACTCGCACGCGACCTGTCCCGACTTAAGCGAGTAATTCCTGGCTCTGATGATGACAGCTAGGACGAGCTGAGTTTCTTGTGAGCACGCGGGGGTCATTATTATTTTTCCACTTTCGCGCGGGCGTTGGGAAATTGGTAATGATGGTTGGGCGAGGTCTCATTTTTCAGACGAACCCCATCACTGGGTTATAGATGATTTGGTCTGGTCTGGTTCTGTCCATTTTCATTCATTTCCATCCGAGTGCGTATTGTTGTGATGTTTTTTTTCTCGGCAAATTGAGGATTAGACCGACTGATTGATTTTCCTGGTAGGAGTGGGTTGGTTGATTGATTAGGTTTCTTTTTGGGGGGGTGATTTTCGCGTTTTGGTGGATTTGATCGACTGATTGATAAGGATACTCGTGGGTGAAAAGGTCATTCTTGCATTTGATTCTTTGGTTCCGGTGGCTGGATTGACCGTGGGGGTCTAGGGAAAAGGGAATTGTGGCATGGGTTGGGCACGGAATTTGGCTTTGCTTTAATTGTAGATCTCTCTAAATGGATTACTAAATTTCCTTGTTGGTGTAGGTGAACTAATGTGGTTAGGTATGGCTTCACCGTTTGAAACTCCCTAGGAAATACTATCGATGCTAGTTACTAGCTGAAGGTCAGTAGAAGACCATCAACCCCCACGGCCAGTCAGTCAGTCAGTCGGTCGGAAGGGCACCTCCTGAGCGGGAATATTGAAGCAACGGCAGTGACAACAAGTGTCGCACGACTGTAGCTTAAACAATAACGTAATCCACGGTTAGGTGGCCCACTACGGTTAGGTGGCCCACCCCTCTGCCCGAACGGCTCGATATCTTCAAAATGAAGCCTTTAATTCAACAAAAACGCTTATAAAAATGCTATATAATTAAAGACTAGGTGGTTTTGAACACTGCGTACGTCGGTGACCAATAATGAAGCAATTACTGCAGCGTGGAGGCGCGCGCGAGAGGGTCTCCGTAGATAGAGATTGAGGTTCAATCTCTACAACTTCATCATTTTGCACCTCCTGTTCTTGCTGGATTGCATCCTGAGCCTCCTCAATAGTAGTGCCTTCTGTATAGACCACTTGCTTTCTCAAACGCTTCCTCTTTTATATTTGCTTTGCATGGCTAGCGCGTAGTTCCTCATTCTCCTTGGCCAGTATGATCGAGTTTGTTATTGCTAGCTCGCACCCTTTGAGGAGTTAACGTAGTGTAGAGTGAGTAGGTGAAGTTAGACTTGCTTGCCGCTTCTGAAGTAACTATTCCACCGTATTCTGATGCTTTAAAAGATGTCTTATATTATATGGTGTTTGAAGCACTGAGCCACTTGACTGACTACCTGGAGTAGGTGGTGTTTTAAGGTAAATATTAAGCCGGGAAAGCACTTGCTCAGGGTCCAGGGGAACAAGACCTGTTGCTCTAAATCCGCTGATGATATTTGACTTTGTTAGAGATTGTTGGTGTGTTTTAGAATAGACCTCTAAGAAGTCAAGCTTGTCAATATAATCACGGCTGTATTGTGCTTACTTTTGAATCATGTTTCTGTACATGCGTTTAAGCACGCTAAAACAACCAACATCCAGAGGTTGAAGTAGATGGGATGAATGCGCAGGTATACAGATAGGAATAATATCATTCTCAGTGCAGGTTTAATCAAATTCAGGAGTCAAATAACTGCCATGGCTGTCAAGTACCAGGAGACTGTACTTGCCTACTGATTTGCCTCTGATCCACGGGATAAAGTGTTTTTGAAGCCATCAAAGGCCAATTATATCAGTAGTCCAACTGTTATCACTGACTTTAATCCTCCAGGTAGAGAGAACAGATCAATCTTCATACTAGGCCTTGAAATGCGTTTTGCCCTTGAAGATTAGAGTTAAAGGTAGAATTATCCTATTAGATTGAATACACTCAATTGAAGTGACCCATTCCCGGTTCCCTGATTGAACTAGAGACGGCCGGCCAGCTCTCTGGGAACTAGTTACTACTTTAATTATAGTAATAATGCCTATAGCAAACCCCGTTTTATCAAAATTATAGATATCATCTGATAAGATCCCGTATTCTTGTATAACCTCCTGGACCTGATTGAACCAGTCTTTTATAATCTCAGGATCCTCTATTCTAGCTCTTTGATAGTTGTATCATCTGGTATAACGAGTACGGAGGGTCTCATGGCGTTTAACAAAGTTGTAGGCCCAGTTGATGCCTACCTCTTTGGGAGTTGTATGACCTCGTTTAGATAGAATTATATTGGCCATATTTCTGACGTCAAGCGGCCGGGGACTTGCACCTCGCTTATCTAGAGATAGAATCCATTTGACAAGCGAATCCTCCTCGTTTTTTGATAATTTTTGACATTTGTGAGTTATATCTTGAGTGAAATCACGTCCAGATAGTCAATTGCAGAGGGTGGTTCGAGGAACATCATAAACACGCGCTGCCTTGCGAATACTGGTGATTTGGTCTTTCTGAATAGCCTCAATGGCAAGAAAGATCCTGCCTTCCTGTTCCACCTGCGCTTTTGATGAGATAGGCGTTTTTGGTGGCATCGTGGTGGTCGAATGGCTTCGGGTAGGAATTCAAGGTGGTGTTTTCGATGGGGTGGGCCACCTAACCGTAGTGGGCCACCTAACCGTGGATTACGTTAATAACATTGACAGATGACATACATCATGCACCGACTGACAGCAGGAGGGAACTTGAAGTATAAATCAGGATAAAAACAAAATGAAATTAAATTAATTCCCCCAACAAGTTCCCCAACTACCCGAATAACCCCAGGAATAATTATATTGCTTCTGATTGATGAAATGAGGGTTTGTTTATCATCCCATATTAATTCCCACTTTTTCTTGAATCGGTGAGTAATGATATGAGGGACTGCTCCACCTGCTGCTTTGGGAAAGGCGTGACGATAGGAACGTGGTGTAGATACTTAGTAGATAGACTAGATTACTTATTATCCCCCAAAGTAAAACATTAACAATCCTTCGATCCTTGGCTGAGAGGGGTGGTGTGCCGTGTGGTTGATATCAGTAAAATTAATGTCTGATGATGTGACTGAGAGGGAGTTATGGTAGTACAAAAAAAAAAAAAAAGAAAAGGATTGTGCAGAGAGTTTATTTCGGGAGCTTTTGTTTATGCTTAGCATAGAAAGGAATAGTTAGGATTCTTCCTACTTAATCAATCAATCAGTCAGATCACGGGTCTTCCAGTGCCAAGAATAGGTACCTCCTCTTTCTTTCTTTCCTTCTCATTATCGGTGCTTGTTTCCTGTTCTCAGTAATTCTTGTCTGATATCACCAGTCAAATAGGCAATGACCGACAACCTAATCATAGCCACATTCAAGAAAGAAGAGGAACTCCTGTCTAGACTATTATTATATCTTCTGATTCGCCATCCGGGAAAAAGTCTTTGCCTATCTTGACTCTCTCCGACTCTTGTCTTTCGCTCATCCTCAAACCTCAAACCGCGCCAAATCCACTTGGGGCCCGCTCTTGTCCGCCCGCGCCGCCAAGATTGGCTCGCTCACTGGCTGTTAAACTTCTACAACGCAAGGGCGACGGCCATCACTCCCTCCAGCCAAGCCGCGAGATCTCATCCGGTCTCCGCTGGGGTGTTTCATCTGGGAACCCACTCATCCTCTCCCTGTTCCTCTCTCTCTTCTCCCCCCCTCCTCTTGACTACTCGATCGATGGCCTCATATATCCGCTTCGCTTGGCGTGGATGGCAAATTTGACAGGAGTCACCCGGACGGGCCCAGCGTCTCTTGGTGACATGGCTCGACCTGTCCAATGTTCCACCTCATTCTCCCTCTCTCCACTTATCGCGATGCACTGACTTGACTGATGGGCCTCGATGCTGGGCCCTGATGAGTCGCTGGCTAACCCGCAATGCTCCAATCCAGCCAAGGGCGTGTGCTTGATTGAGAAGGTTTTGCACTGGCCCTCTGGAGATCTTTCTCAATTCTGCTCGTTCTTCTTCTTCTTCGTAGACTTTGCTTTTTCTTTTTCCTCTTTTCCTGCTTCTCAGCTTTCCCTTTTGTTAAGCGCTTTCCCCTTCACATATCGGCTACAGGATAGTCAGTCCCTTCTTTCCCTTCCAACCCTACTACTTTTTGGGTACCTATTCCACGCCCCCCCCCCAATCGATTTGGCTCGCTTCTGCCTCGCTGTTGGCCGATTGTTGGCTGTTGGTACCGGTTATTTGTTCATTCTTTATCAGAACCTTTTTCATTTATTTCTGAAGCTGAAAAAGCAAAGGGTGTGACTGGTTCATATTCCGTCTTAAACATTCCGTTCCGTTGCCCGCCACTGTCGAGAGATTCCACACGGAAGTATCCCAGTTCCCAGGCGACCGTCCATTCTCTGTAAATCAAGACACACCAAGCTTTTTACCGTATTTCCCTTCGATCCGTGACCAGCTTGTCGCTTGGTCTTTGTTCAAGTTGTGATCCTCCCGTTGCACGACAAAGCGCCATCACAATACCCTTGTTGGTGTGAACCCTGGCTCTCCGCTGGACGTGGGATATTCTTGCTCTCCCCACGCCAGTCCAACAACTAGAGACTTCAAATACTCCTCATTGGGTCTCTTGCATGGGTCATCGACGAGGATCATCTCGGGATTTTCTTTCTTTTTTTCTTCATTTGCAATTAGTTTCTGAAGAAAAAACTCCGTCTGGGTAGAGCTGGTCTCTCCTGCAAGAAATATCCCCTATTAGTACATCTCCACGTCGATTGTCGAGACATCTTTCCGTTTTTTTTTTCTCTTCTCATTTTTCAATTCACACACAAAGATGTATTCTCTTCTTCTTTGCTCGTCCCTGGTCGGACTTGCTTCTGCAGCAGAGCTCGGAAAGCGTCATGGAGGGGGTCATTCATTTTATGAGATGCTCAATGACGACCTCGCTCGTCTCAGTCTGCTGGTCCTGGGCCTAATGGCTGCCTTTATCTATGTCTGGAAGATGTGGCATCGTCTTGCCAGTCATATGAGGCGACTGGCAAGTTTTAACAATGAACACCAGCGGTACTTCATTCGCCCCGACAGCATGCTCGCGAAAATCCACAACCATATCGTCTATGCCCCGTTGTTCCGTACACGCCACAACCGCGAGTTCCAGCTCTCCCGAGCTGTCAATATGGGCACGCTGCCCAGTCGGTTTCACTCCTTTATCGTGGTGGGCATTATCGTTATGAACGTCGTCCTTTGCGTTGTCACCGTACCCTATGGGACCGAGGAGTCCACGGTTGCGGGCCTGATCCGCAACCGCACCGGAACCATGGCGACAGTGAACCTTATCCCGGTGGTGCTCATGGCCGGCAGGAACAATCCCCTGATCACCCTGCTTCAAGTGCCGTTTGACACCTTCAATCTGATTCACCGCTGGCTCGCTCGCATTGTCGTCTTGGAGGCAATCGCCCATGTGTTTGCTTTTGCGATCCCGGAGGCTCAGGAAGGTATGTAGTTGCAACCCATGTCGGAGTATGGTCCATATGTGCTGATAATTGTATAGCCGGTTGGAGTCTTGTTGGAATGCTTTTCGGAGAGAGCAGCTTTATGCTAAGTGGATTGATCGTAAGCATTTATGAAAGACCAAACTTGAATTTGACTAACTTGACTGTTAGGCTGGCTGCGCCTTCACTGCTCTTCTTGTGCACTCACCCTCCCCCATCCGCCATGCATTCTACGAGACCTTCCTCCACTTCCACATCGCGTTCGTTGCGCTTTCGTTCGCCTTCCTGTGGATACACTTGGATGGCCTGGTGTCTCAGAACTACCTTCTCGCCGCCATCATCCTCTGGGCTCTCGAGGTAAGCCTCCATTTTCCTATTGGAGAATGAGACAAGATTAACCATGGTTATATATAGAGAGCCGCCCGAATCCTCATCATTGTGTACCGTAACTGCGGAAGGGAGTGCACGACAGCGCATGTCGAGACCCTCCCGGGCGATGCCCTGCGAATCACCCTGAAGATGGCACGGCCGTGGACCTTCAAGCCTGGCCAACACATGTACTTGTACATCCCATCCATTGGTTTCTGGATGAGCCACCCCTTCTCCGTCGGGTGGAGCGAAGCCGAAGAAATCCCCGCAAGCGAAAAAGGCATCCCTATGACCCAACAAGACCTTGCGAGTCTCCAGAAGACGACCGTCTCCTTGCTGATTCGTCGCCGCACTGGGTTCACCGACAAACTTTTTAAGCGTGCTCAAAACTCTCCCAGTGGACGGATTTCCTTGCGGGCGTTCGCAGAAGGCCCGTACGGCAGCATCCACACCATGGACTCCTACGGCACGGTCATGCTCTTTGCAGGCGGTGTCGGCATCACACATCAAGTACCATTCGTGCGGCATCTCGTCCAGGGCTTTGCCGAAGGGACCGTGGCGGCCCGTCGCGTTACCCTGGTCTGGATCATCCAGTCCCCCGAACACCTCGAGTGGATCCGGCCCTGGATGACCAGCATTCTGGCGATAAACCGCCGTCGCGAAGTCCTTCGGATCATGCTGTTCATCACCCGCCCGCGTAACACCAAGGAGATCCAGAGCCCCAGCACCACCGTTCAAATGTTCCCGGGTCGTCCTAACGTTGACACGCTGATCAACATGGAGGTCGAGAACCAGGTTGGAGCGATGGGAGTGCTGGTATGTGGAAACGGAAGCCTGAGCGATGATGTTCGACGGGTGTGCCGCAAGAGACAGGACCAAACGCAAGTAGATTTCATCGAGGAGAGTTTTACCTGGTAAGACTGGTGGACAGCCGGCTGCCTTTAAGTGAATGTTCAATGGAGGGCTGCTGCTCACTTGGCCCCCATTTGTGTCTCAGCACATCCACGCTTGGCAGCCATGTCCCTCAATTATCTACAGCCTATGGGCTACCTGTGTGTTGGATCCCCTCGGTGTTTTCGGTTGCTATTGGTTTATACTTTTGTAGCTAGGGTAGTATATATAGTTGTTCCTTTTTATGCGTGGCTCTGAAGCTTGCGATTGCACATAACAATCAAGTTTTGCATAACTTTGTGCTTATTTGTGGAAACTTGTTTTTTGTAAGCCATTGAAGCTAAACACTAGTACATTGCATTGCATGCTTACACGATGCAATCTGTTTTTGGCCAGCTTCTTCCAACCCATTAGGACTACTGGGCAGCAGACAGCACCCATAATAGCGATCGATGTATGCACCCCGGCATCAGCAACACTGCAACACATTACGAACCCGAACCTACAGAGTGACATCTAAACCCTTGTACTTAATTCCGCCAACTACTAATCACGCAATCCCAATAATAAATTAACCGTACAGTAAGCCGGCATAATCCTAGTACGGCATCCCCGCCCGATAAGAAAAATAAATCCCCGATAGAAACAGCCGGAAGCTTTTTCTGCAGCTTAGAAATCAAACCTCAAGCTCAAGTGGGGCTTACTGATGAATCAGCCGAAAATGGCATCATCATGTTTCCTAAGGTTAACTCGTTACCCCCCATGAACTAATTAGCTAACGTAGCTGTTCAATTGCATCAATCATCGTGTAGTAGTTATCTGGTCGGTCATGAGCGGGGTTCGTGTAGGATCCAGAGGCCTATTTAATGCCCGTTGTTTTCGTCGTCGCACTGCATCTTCTTTTGTATCATCATCACCATCATCATCACCTATTTACTTGAACTCAATTTCCTGTTCACGGATCCCTTCTACTTCTTCTTTTTCTTCTTATTCTCTGTATAGTACAGCTACAGCTGCAGCTATCACAATGAGCCGCCCCGACATCACCCTCTACACAGCGCAGACTCCCAATGGAATTAAGATTTCCATTGCGCTGGAGGAGCTAGGGTATGCCGATATCTTCATAGGATAATTAGCAATCTAACCGATAATCCAGTCTCCCTTACAAAGTCGAGAAGATCGATATCACCAAGAACACCCAGAAAGAGCCGTACGCTACCTTCTCCATACCTCAACAAATCCTCTCCCCATCACTACTAATACCATCTAGATGGTTCCTCGAAATCAACCCCAACGGCCGCATCCCCGCCCTAACTGACACCTTCACCGACGGATCCAAGATCCGCCTCTTCGAATCCGGCAGCATCCTCACCTACCTCGCGGAACAATATGACAAAGACCACAAGATCTCTTACCCGCAGGGCACCCGCGAATACTATGAACAGAACAGCTGGCTCTACTTCCAGAACGCCGGTGTCGGGCCCATGCAAGGCCAGGCGAACCACTTCCACCGATACGCGCCCGAGCGCATCGAGTACGGCGTGAACCGCTACATCAACGAGACGAGACGGCTATACAGCGTGCTGGATGCGCACCTCGCCAAGTCCAAATCCGGGTATCTTGTTGGTGATCACGTCAGTATTGCGGATATCTCGCATTGGGGATGGGTTGCTGCAGCCGGGTGGGCAGGTGTCGATATTGAGGAGTTCCCGAATCTCAAGGCGTGGGAGGAACGCATGGCTGCCAGGGAGGGAGTCGAGAAGGGTAGACATGTGCCGAGTCCGCATACTATCAAGGAGGTTTTGAAGGATAAGGCCAAGGCGGAGAAGATTGCGCAGGAGTCAAAGGGGTGGATTCAGCAGGGGATGAAGGCGGATGCTAAGCATTAGCTTTAAATTAGTGTTATTTAGTTAGTGATGATGTATATGATTGTTTGATTTTGCAATGATAAGGTTGTGAGATAGTACTGATGTGAAAGTGCATACTGTTCTGTTCTGCTCCCCGCTTAGTCATCACCACGTGCCGGCCTAAAAGCCTTGCCACATCTCCCTCCCCAGCTTCTCTCGTCGCATCGCATCGCCGTCCTCTCGTCAAGGATCCTGCGGAGAAAGAAAGAAAAAGAATATCTCTTTTTTGCTCGTATATCGGTCTCATTAACAACAGGGGTTAATAGTCGTTCATCATGGCCTGGCGCAACCAGGGAATCACCGGGTCCAATAACATCCCTCTGGGCCGGAGACGGTTTGGAGGTGAGGAGGGCCCGGAGGATGAGAGTCGCACCGCGACGCCTGCTTCTATGCCTGGTGCTGGTGACTCGGCCTACAAGCGTGGCCGCAGCCCTGTCCGAGGTGAGTGCATAAAAATATTATAACTGCCCTTCAATATTAAACAGCTGCTAATGCTATGGTTAGCTGAACCCCCCGCCGACGGCGTCAAGAAGCGCAAGAAGCGTAACCGTTGGGGCGATGCGCAGGAAAACAAGGCTGCCGGTCTCATGGGTCTGCCGACCATGATTATGGCTAATTTCACCAATGAACAGCTGGAAGCGTATACCCTGCATTTGCGGATTGAGGAGATTAGCCAGAAGCTGAGGATCAATGATGTTGTGCCGGCTGATGGGGATAGGTTCGTCCCTTCTTCCTCTTGATGGCTGCTGCGCCCTTCTGAAAGACATGCTAACGGTTTTAGATCTCCCTCTCCCCCTCCTCAGTACGATAACTTTGGCAGACGTGTAAACACTAGGGAATACCGCTACCGGAAGCGTCTCGAGGATGAGCGCCACAAACTCGTCGAAAAGGCGATGAAGACTATTCCTAACTACCACCCGCCTTCTGACTACAGACGTCCTACTAAGACCCAGGAGAAGGTCTATGTGCCTGTGAATGACTATCCAGAGATTAACTTCAGTATGATAACTAACCCTCTAACTCCTAACCATTGCTGTATTTGTACTCTCCTGCACTCCTTGACTCTGCTGTGCTCGAGTCGGGCTTCTGATGAAGACTTCGCCGCCGGGCGTTGTTTATCTCCAGCTCGCTTCTTGCGAACCCTTGCTCTACCTGTTCTTTTGCTCCCACTTGCACCATTTTGCTCACACTCACCCGCCTGAAAGTACTTAAAACAGCTTGCACTAACACTTAGCTTTTTGCTATCTTTTAAAGTTGGCTTACTCATAGGACCTCGTGGTAATACCCTGAAGAAGATGGAGTCGGAGTCTGGTGCCAAGATTGCCATTCGTGGTAAAGGTTCCGTCAAGGAAGGAAAGGGTCGCTCTGATGCCGCTCATGCCAGCAACCAGGAAGAAGATCTTCACTGTTTGATTATGGCGGATACTGAGGAGAAGGTTAACAAGGCGAAGAAGCTGGTACACAACGTCATTGAGACGGTATGTATTCCCCAAGTTGCACAATGAAATGAATTCCAGGTACTAATGGACACAGGCTGCTTCGATCCCTGAGGGTCAGAACGAACTCAAGAGGAATCAGCTTCGAGAGCTGGCCGCACTTAACGGTACTCTCCGTGACGATGAGAACCAGGCTTGCCAGAACTGTACGCACCCTTCCTGTTTTACTTGGAATTATAGCTAACAACCACAGGTGGTCAAATCGGACACCGCAAGTACGACTGTCCTGAGCAGCGCAACTTCACCGCCAATATCATCTGTCGCGTCTGTGGTAACGCTGGTCACATGGCCCGTGATTGTCCCGACCGTCAGCGCGGCTCTGACTGGCGCAACAACAACGGTGGCTTCGGCGGCCGCAGGGCCATTGGCGGCGGTGACGCTGTCGACCGTGAGATGGAGGTATGTTTCCGCCCATTCTTTCCCCAAGTACACAGTACATGGTACTAACATACCTCAGCAACTCATGCAAGAATTGTCTGGTGGCGCGCCCGGCGAAGACGGCCATGTCCCTCGTCGGATCGAGGCTGGCCCCGATCAAGGTTATGATGACCGCGACGTGAAGCCATGGCAGCGCGGACCTCCGCCCAGTGACGTGGCTCCCTGGCAGCAACGAGGCCGCGACCGCCGTGACGACTACGGCTCCCGCGACCACGGCAGTGCGCCTCCATGGGCTGCACAGGGCCGCGGCGGCGGTGGCGGTGGCGGCGACTATGGCTATGGCTCTCACGGTGGTTATGGTGCACCTGGAGCTGCTGCTGCCTCCGCTGCTGCTCCTTGGCAACAGGCTGCTCCCCCGCCGCCCCCTGGCGGACAAGCATCGTACGGTTACGGAGCTTACCCTACGTACCCCGGCATGGGTGCCCCTGGCGCTCCTCCGGGTCTGAGTGTTCCTCCTCCGCCGCCGGGCATGCCGTCGATGTACTACGGCTCTGGAAGCCCACCCCCTCCGCCTCCTGGCGAGGGTCCCCCACCTCCGGTATGTTTGCTATCTACATAACTTAATTTACTACCGCTTACTGACATGATGATGCAGCCGCCTAGTGACCAGCCTCCCCCGCCTCCCCCTCCCGCTTAGGGGAGATGCGACATAAAAGTGGTTAATGTTGATGCGAACGATAGCTAGGGACACCGGTAGAAGAATCCAGCCCGGGTAAATTGATAGTGCACGTAGGACACTGGCGATGATAGTTTTAACAACTCTCTCTGTGTAATAGTTAGGTAGTCCAGCATCAAGCGTTCTGCTATAATTGTTTGCTTCCACTTTTCGATAAATTCGAGACTTTGTTTGCAGGGGGATACATTAATCCGTCTGCAAAATGTACGCATGGCTGCCCGTCGGCAAAAATACGTCGCTCGCTCGCTCGCTCGCTAAAGCCAATGACGTTAGGCACTAACTAGCATGGTCGCTACCGCGTAGAAACATGACTAGCATAGATAAAGACAGACCCGCCATCATAGTTTTATCTCTCGGTGTCCCCAATTGTTATTAGACTAGAGAGTAATGGTTATAATTCTTCCACTTCGCTTTTCTAGAATCACAACCTTCGTGAGCTTTCCGCAACCGTCGCCGCCGGAAGTCCAGTCGAGCTAGCTAGCTAGCTAGCTTAGTACTAACTAGCCGGCCGTTTCTCCACACTTTGTCCCTTCTTCTCATTCCTCGAACCTAACTTTCCCCGGATCAAGTTAACCAGTTAAGATTCCGGCTGAGAGACTTTTTTTTTTTCCTCTCCCGCCGGGGCAGCTGTGAGAGAGAGCTTACTAGGCTCTTTACGTATACTTACTCATTATTATTGTTATCTTGTAGTATTGAGGGATAGCCGAGTTCTTAATAGAACCATGCAAGCTCCATCTGCCTCCACCTCAGGCTCCCACAGCGGCAGCGGAGGAGGAGGAGGGGGAGGAGACACCCTCCCACCGTCATCTTCGCATTCGCGCCGGCCGTGGCAGTCGCAATCGCAACATCTCCGCCCGGCGACGACGAGCAGTATTCGCTCTCAGCACAGTACACACAACAGCCATCATGAACAACATACTAGGTATCAGTCTTCCACGGGGAGTGGGATCGGTAATGCTGGAGAGAAAGAAGAAGGAGAAGAGAAATGGTACAAAATTCATCTCTTCCGAGGCATGATTCAGGATATTAAGCGCCGTGCTCCGTTCTATTGGAGTGATTGGACTGATGCGTGGGATTATCGCGTTGTGCCCGCGACGGTGTATATGTATTTTGCTAAGTGGGTGCATCCTTTTTCGTTTTGGTTGATTTTTTGTGGTGCTGATTGTGTTGTGGTGTAGTATTCTTCCTGCGCTGGCTTTCTCGTTGGACATGTTTGAGAAAACCAATCAGAGTTATGGCGTTAATGAGGTCTTGCTGGCGAGTGTGTTGGCTGCGGTGGTGTTTTCGGTCTTTGCGGCTCAGCCGTTGGTTATTGTGGGTGTTACTGGTATGTTTTTTTTCTATCTCGATCTCTTTCTTCTTTTGTTTTTGGTCTGTTATTGATCTGGTGGTGGGATAGGTCCTATTACTGTGTTTAATTACACGGTTTATGATATCATTTCGCCACGAGGGACGAATTATTTGGCGTTTATGTGCTGGATTGGGATGTGAGTCTCCCTATTGGTTCGTTCTTTGACAGCTCGTGTGCTGATCGTTGTAGATGGTCGTTGATCATGCATTGGCTGCTTGCCATTACCAATGCCTGTAATGGTCTCACCTATGTCACTCGCTTCTCGTGCGACATTTTCGGTTTCTATGTCGCCTTTATCTACCTTCAAAAGGGTATCCAAGTCCTCACCAGGCAGTGGGGAACCGCTGGTGAGACTTCCGCGTATCTCAGTATCATGGTCGCCTTGCTGGTGCTTATGAGCGGCTGGATATGTGGCGAGCTTGGTAATAGCAGTCTCTTCAAACGGTGGATTCGCAAATTTTTGGAGGATTATGGCACGCCCTTGACCATTGTGTTCTTTACTGGGTTTGTTCATATCGGCCATATGAGGGATGTCGAGGTGGCGAGACTGCCCACTAGCAAGGCGTTTTTCCCGACAGAAGAGCGCCCGTGGCTGGTTCATTTCTGGGATATCAATGTCGGCGATGTGTTCCTTGCTATTCCGTTTGCGGTGCTGTTGACGATTCTGTTCTATTTTGACCACAATGGTAAGTCAGCGTACAAGATAGCAAATGCTCTGCTGGGTAACTGACCAAATAGTCTCGTCGCTTATCGCCCAAGGAACCGAGTTCCCTCTGCGCAAGCCAGCCGGTTTCCACTGGGACCTCTGGCTACTCGGAATCACCACCTTCGTAGCCGGTCTCCTGGGTATCCCCTTCCCCAACGGTCTCATCCCCCAAGCACCCTTCCACACGGCCGCTCTCTGCGTCACCCGCGACGTCGCCGACGAAGACGACACCAACAAAGGCAAAGCCATCCGCGTCACCGACCACGTCGTCGAACAACGCGTCAGCAACTTCGCCCAAGGCCTCATGACCCTCGGCACCATGACCGGCCCTCTGCTTATTGTCCTGCACTTGATCCCTCAAGCTGTCCTGGCCGGCCTCTTCTTCATCATGGGCGTCCAAGCCCTCCAAGGCAACGGCATCACCCAGAAACTCATCTTCCTCGCTCAAGACAGCGGTCTCACGCCAGCCTCCAACCCGCTCAAGCGCATCAAACGCCGACTCTCCATCTGGGCGTTCGTCATCCTGGAACTGATCGGCTTCGGCGCCACTTTTGCCATCACACAGACTATCGCCGCCATCGGCTTCCCGGTTATTATTCTGCTGCTTATCCCCGTCCGCTCGTTCTTGTTCCCCTGGTGGTTTACACAGGAGGAATTGTCCATCCTGGACGCCCCGACTGCTAGTCCATTCACTATGGAGAGCGTGGGCGGGACGCATGGGCTGAGTGACGCTGCTGCTGCTGCTTCAGGTCGGGATGATGATCGCCGTAATTCGAAGAATGGGGGTAGTGGTGATGGGGTAATGATGCGGAGGGATGAGAGCTCGTCCGAGTCGGCTGTTGAGGATGATTTGGAGAGAGGTGAGGCGTATGAGATGCAGAGGTTGGGTGTAAGGCGGAGGAGTACGACTGGTGGGGTGGAGTAGATGTAGTCGCCATTGGAGAAAGAAAAAGTGCTGCAGTGCAGGTGATGGGCTAAAAGTATATAATGGTTTTGATTTTGGAGATATATAGTGGAGAGATAAAAGATAGTAATCTACTAGTATATAATTGGAGGATATGCATCAGTGCAGTATTTCAGGTTGATGATATCCTCGATTTCTTGAAGTATAGAAGCCCACCCTTAAGCGTCACTATTCCCAGCTAAGCTTGACTATTCTCCACTTCTTTACCCACCCTTCTGACATGAGAAACGTTCATCTACATCGAATGGGTATAGACCTACTCACTTAGCTGCCTGTGGAATGTAACCTTGAAGTATTCGTCATATGATATCAACTTAATATAGACGCACTCTTCAGGAATCGTATCTACGCACTGTACTACCTACCTACGTATCTTTCCTAATCTAACGATGCTTAGTAGGTATATAATGGGGCAAAATGAGCGACAGTCAACTTGATAGAAGGACACATTTGCTTATTTGGGCTGGTTCTCTCCCCCTAGGGTCTGGTCGTAACCTGGAAGCTATGTTATGCGTGTTGATGTAGGTTGGTCAGATGATCTGAATGGTAGATCAAGAACTGAGGCTTAGATCCGGCTAAGTTGATGGGCTCTCTTTCTTTGGTCGCTTTGGGATTGTGCTAGCTGGTCCGTAGGGAAGGCAATCTGTCCATGCTGTGTCATGGTGTTGTATTCGTGGAGTAGCGTATCTGGCTTTATTTCGCAACTTAGAGCCCTTCATTTTCGTCTGAGAAAATTGGGATGTTGAGGGGTCTCGTCAAATGCTTATGGTGTCTTGAAAGATGATATGCGTCCTGGGAGGACTCTTCTTGTACGGATTCTTTGCCAATGAGAGCTGTTCACTCGTATTTGAGGCGTATGATCTAGCGAGATCGCTCGTCTTGACTGAAGAATGGGTCATTCTGCTAAAGTGATTCAGTACACAAAGTGCTTTTGTAGGACGATTCCGAAGGTCGGTGACAATCAACTGCATAGTGAGAAGGTGTCCTTCAATTATCTTCTTGCTTGCTTGTGTTCCTCGATACATTCTTGGCCATATAAATCTTCAGCTCCACCACTACATCAATAGCGTATATTTGCGTTCGTCCATTGGTATTGTTATTAGATCTCTCGATCTCCCGATTCTGCTCGTGGCGTATCGATCGTTCTCTGTGATAAGGTGGTCCCGAATACGTAAACCGTAGTTGTCCAATTTTATATGAAGGATCAAGGATCGTCATTTTATCTGAGCTCTCTAAATTCGTTAGCTTGCGGTTAAATGGCACATTTCCAAGCAAATTGAAAGGAAGCCCACCAGGTGCTGGAAATAAACTAGATATGAAGTATCACCTCTGATCATTCTTCATTCCAATTGGTAGCAATCCAACTATTGTAGCACTCTCTTCCATTTCACTATTGAAATGATATTGTGCGCAATCCCGCGCAATCTCCGTAAAGTAGACACAGCGTAGATCGTCTGAGCAATCTGAAGCCATCCAGATTGACCTCACTGTCAGTTCTCCATTGACTCAGGCTTCAGTTTGTAAACACGACAAACAAGGAAGGCGCGATCAATCCCAGGCTGCTCTTCTCTGCCTCCCTCCTTCCTCATCTAGATCTTAACACGCGTTCTTGCCCCTTCAACTCGCCATCGACGTGTTTCCGCTCTCTCTTTCTGTTTCTTCCCCATCTTCTCATCCTCCTACCTCTCTCTGTATCCTCACATTTGACTTCATCTTCTCTTATTCGACTTAGTCCTTTTCATGGGCGTCAAGGTATAAAAGGCCTCTTCTCTCTTCCTCTTCCTCTTCTTCCTTCTTCCTCCCCAACCTACTCCTCTTCTCTTGAGCGCTCCTCCCTTCTGTTCCTTCCTCTGATCGTTGACCATCATCACACACAGCCTAAAATCCCAAAAAATTCAATAAACAACAAAAATATCTCGGCGT